TCAGTAGGCAAACAAATAGGTCTTAATGCTCGCCTTAACAAATCTATTTCTGAACCCTGTTTTCTTACATAGATATCCTGCCTATAGGATCTTAAATTAATAAGTTTGCTGGTTCAAATGCATGCTTTTGTTACTTATGTATGGAGGTTAACATGAGCTTATACTTGCTCTATACCTGAAAGTCCTATTTGCTTTTTGTGTGTCGCCTAGATTTCACATTTTTAAGAAACATAGAGTGGTCTAGAACCATCCAAAATAGAGGTCCTAATGCCTCCAGGACTATAGGTAAGGGACGGGTAGTGCACGCATATGGTACGGTTTAGAATCAGTTAGTGCGCTTAAGTAACAACTTGAAGATAGTAATTGGGTAGTAAAGGAAATGATAGCCCATCCGCTAATGCTATGAATATAACCCCGACTTGAGGGAGTTGCAAAGCATTGCATGGAATGATCCTATAGGCTAAAAAACTTAGGACCACCCCTATACTCTTATTTGAAATAAACTGAATATTGTATTTGTCCAAATTGTCTTCCTTCCCTTTTAAGACTAATTCGCTTAATTTAAGTTCGGTCGGGACCCACCATTGTGGACCTCGAGGGATGCCTAACACCTTCCCCTCAAGGTAATTTTTAGCCCTTACCTGATCCCTGGTGATGTAGACTGGTTATATGAGTTAATTGCTCTAGGTGCCCTAACGCACCTTAATTCGTTAGGTGGCGACTCTTTCAAATCCAATTCCCTACCCTCACGGAAAGGAGTTGTCCCAGAAATGTCGAAACCCGATTTCGCGAGAAAAAGGGGGCGCGACAACTGCTCTGCCGTAGTAGGCTCGCTCATAGGCGCTCGGTCATACGCTCTATATCTCCACTAATTGGGCTCGCTCATAGGCGCTCGGCCACAGTAGACTCGGCATATAACTTACCATCTGAGAGGTTGCCCAATAGGGGTCTGCTCACCGATTATGTAAATTAATTCCACCAATCCAAAGAGAAAATTAAATAGTGATATCTAGAAGCAAAATAACCACTTCTTTTTAGGAAGAAAAAGGAACTTTTTCCCTCTGAAAAAGATTTTAATTTGTTCTGAGATTCAAATAAGGACTTAGGTTATATATACTAACAATATTAGGTTAATTTAACTAATAGTAGTAGGCCATTTTTTTATTTTTTGGGTTATCATATCAAGTTTGCTATGGAGATTACCTATTGTTATAGTTAAACTTAACGGATATTGTTAAAATTTTAAACATTGAGAATGCACAGAACTTAAACTCATAAAAAATCACAAATTTCTAAAAATAAAAGTACTATACGGCAACAACACATATAGGAGTAAATTGCAATCAAAATTACTAACATTCAAAAGGTTTGGAACTTGTGGGCTTAAATATCTCTATACTTAGAGATCAAAACACATTGATATGACAAGAATTAAGATTGAACAAGTTCCAGACAGTGTTATAAAGGGCGGGAGCCCGAGGTAGGGTGAGGCATAAGTCTCGAGATAAGAGGCGCAAGCCTCGTGGATCTTTAAATTTTTAATTTATAAATTAATAAAATAGCATAATAACGCCAAAAAAAAAATATATAAGTAAATTAAAACTTTTAAAAAAATTAAAGAAATTCATTAAAAAAAAAATATCTAGCATGTTTTTTACAATTATAAACAATGCAATAATATCAAAGTTATTGTGGGATAAAAATCAACTATAACGTCGTATTTTTCAAAACAATTAAAAAAATTATAATTTCTTAAAAAATATTATCAAAATACACATTTTACCTCTAAAAATAAATAATCAATATTAATATTTTAATTAAAATATTAATCCTTCATGAATAAATAGACGATTACTTTCAAGAATCAAAATAGTAAAAATCTATAATTTTGAGAGACATATGAACTAAGACATGACCAATAAACATTAAAGAGCTGATTCGGGCTAGAGTTCTAACTCGGTTATATTTTAGGACAGGGCTCGACTAAGCTCGGCTCAGTAGTGTAACAAGGTTGAGCTCCGCATAGGCTCGGCTTGGGTCGACACCCAAGCCATGTGTACATCCATATATATTATATTTAATAATTTTAGGAAAGGTAACTGTAATTTGCCATTTTGGAATAATGGCTGGAGACGGAATTAATTAACTAATGGAAAACAATATTTGGAAACCTTCTTTTTTCGTAATTTGGAAACTTTCCTAAAACTTATCCTAGACCGTATGGGAAACAAAAATAACGAGTCACAGTTTAATTTCATATTAAAAGAGGTTGTTATTCTGCTCATACACGGAGACAGAATTCATTAACGGGAAAAAAAAGAATTTGGAAACTTTCCGATATTGTAAAAATATAGGATTCCTATACCGTCAATTTTCCATATTAAAACGCGGTTGTTATTCTGCTTATAAATAAAGGAGACAACCTGAAGCTTTGCATTTATACTTCGTTCTTAGACCAAAGTGTAGCCTACAAAGTAGAAAATTCACAAATTCTAATGGCCGTTGTAATGGGCGAAGAAGCGTTGTTGTGGAAGAGAGGCAAAACTGTGGGCAAAGGCAGCTTCGGTATTGTTTCATTAGCTTCCACGTCCAACGTGCATGATCATCATCATGTGGCGTTACTGAATGGGGTTCCTCCTCTTCCTTTACAGATTGCCGTAAAATCTTGCAAATTCAGTAATTCTCGATATGTACGTGCAGAAAGTGAATTCCTACGCATGTTTCAAGAATCTCCTTACGTAATTCGCTTTTTCGGAGTTAATGTCACTCAAGAGAATGGTGTGATTCTGTACAACTTATTGCTCGAGTATGCCTCTGGTGGAAGTCTAGCGGATTGTCTTGATGAGGACATGAATTCAAGAAAAGGGCTTAAAGAGTATGAAGTTGGGAAGCACACGAAGAACGTCCTTTTGGGCCTAAGTCACGTTCACAGCAAAGGAGTTATCCATTGTGACATAAAGCCACACAATATTCTTGTTGTGGGCACAGATAGAATTGCTAAGATCGCAGATTTTGGACTCGCCATGACTTTGGAAGAGAGCAGCGAAAAAGAGCACGGAATCAGGGGAACAAAGAGGTATATGGCACCAGAATCCGTGATTTACCACCAGTACGGAACAGAGGTTGATATTTGGGCTCTTGGCTGCACTGTCTATGAGTTGCTTACAGGGAAACCGCTGTGGAAAACAAGTTCAGACATCAATGATGTAAAGGCTGATGTGTTACATAAAATTGCGTTTGAGAAACCCAAAATTCAGAATGCAAAGGTTTCAAAAGAAGCACGAGATTTTCTGAAAAGGTGTCTAGACAAGAATCCTAGGTCACGTTGGACTGCCGAGATGCTCTTGAATCACCCTTTTCTGAATTCTTCCAATGTCCATCCTACAAAGACAAGGAAGAAGCAAAGTGACATGTCCCTTTTACGTAGAATATTTAAGACACAGCCACACATTCGTGATTTGATTAAAGCAAGAATAGATGCAATAATGAAGAAGAAATTAGAGAGGAAACTCGTGGAAGGCTACTAGGTACGGACAATAGATAGATTGATGAATTGAAAATTGATTTGTAATATATGTAAATAACTAAGTCTGGACTAGATCACTCTTAAGGATTTGTTGGGTGGCACTAGGGAGCCTGTGACCAAAATGATCAGGTGACTTATTGTATTTTGTTCTTGGCCATCAATCAATTTTGCAATTCATGCCTCAGTAAAATGATCTGTTGAACTATATTCTATCTTTGATTATGTAAATATGTCTTGCTGTCCTTTGCCTGCATATGAGGTTTCCCGTTCATTAATATAATCCACTAAATTAGGAGCATTATCTTAACAGGTAGAATGTTATTCATGGAACGTATACTTTCAATCACTTACTGGTCTAATCAAGGAGATTCTGCCAAGTTAGCAGCATACCTTCTTATTACTCCCTCTCGTCCACAATAAGTGACCAATTTGTTTTTTTATTTTGGTCCAAAATAAGTGTCCATTTATATAATCAAGACAAAATTCAATTTGTTTTTCCAAAATTACCCTTATGTATGTGTCCCTAAAAAATCTTTTACTCCTCATATTAAATTATGCTGCAACATTTAATTAAGGGTAATTTAATCACACTAACTATTTTTGTCTAGAATTTAGTATTTCCTTAATGGGTGTGCCCAAAACTAATTGGTGAGTTATTGTGGACCGGATGGAGTAATTTATTCAAAACGCCTACTTAATTTTCTTTTTCTTTTTTTTTTTTGGTTGGTGGGTGTGTGTGTTTGGGGGGGGGGGAGGGGGGG